TGTGCGGGAGACACTGAAGATTGGGGATCCTGTGGGAGCATTTGATACCTGTTCCTTTTTGGTACGCACAAACCAGCGGGGGCTGCTATGGTCTTCCCTTACACCCCCCCATATTTTGACAAATTTGTTTATAAAGACTCTGATCGCCTGAAGCGTCCATTTGTTCTCCCTAAGCGTTTCACAGTACGCTACCAGTTTGAGGAGACCCTCCTGAACAAATGGACCTCTCCTCCTTTTCTGGACCTATATCCCAGCTGGACAAGGTTACCGTAATCCCAGTGGAAGAATCTCCCTCCTTTTTGGGACCCTACAGATCACAGATTGCAGGGTGGAGGCGGTGGCTCGTTCAATGTTCACCATTGCTGAGTCTGCACTCCGACCTTTGCTGACCACGGCCCTGGTTTCCCAGTCCCTGACAGAATGGGCCAATTTTTTTACGGCAAGCCTTGACTTCCAGCTAGATGTCTCAAGCATATGTGTAACTGACGGACCAGTTGGTCAAGGGGCTAAAGTAGGTTTGTAACGCGTCTCTTGACGCTGCCCCACTCCTCTCCAAACTTTGTTTCGGTAGTAGTGCCGCGGTGAGTCCTGTGTTGCAAGTGTTGGTCGGCTGACCAGACCTCCGAAAAGGCTTTGGCTTTTTACCTTCCTTTGAGACCAGCTGTTTGGGGCTACACATTATCAAGAGCCTATGGGTGGCAAGAGTACCTCTCTACCACAGTCCAAGAAGGGAAAAGAACCGCGTAGGATGACTGGGCCGACTGTCACGGCACATGAGTGGGGGGTCGCTTATGCTGGTTTCTGGGCTTGTGGACTTGCATTCCTGACAAACGGGTCTGTGAAATCATTGGCTACAAAATAGAATTTCACTCCTTTCCATCGGACAGATTTTTTCCCCCTCCAGTCTGCGGCTTTAACCAGCCCCTTACGGGGCTGTGCAGGAACTACTTCTTTTGGGGGTTGATTATCCCGGTGCCCGAATCGGAGCAGTTCAGGGGATTTTACTCGAATCTGTTCAGTTCCCAAGACAGACGGGGTTTGCCCTATACTGGAGCTCAAGGCCCTGAATACCTTTTTGTGTGAGTTCACAAGTTCAACATGGAATCCATTCGCTCGGTGATGGTCTTCCTTTACCAAGGGGACTTTCTGCTGTCTATAAACATCAAGGACTCTTACCTGTTTATTCCAATTTACGCGGGACATCAGCATTTTCCTGCGCTTTGCTTTGCTATCAGGTCCACACATTACCAATTTGTTGCACTGCCTTTTGGTCTGGCCTCTGTTCCCTGGTGTTTACCAAGGTCATGGCCTTGCTGATCCTGGCCTAGCTGAGATGAGGGATCACTGATTGATTACCTGGATGATTTGCTCCCATGGGCGGAGACCCATTCATCCCTGTTGGACAGTGTGGGGATCACCATATGTTCTCTACGGGACTTTGGGTATATCCTGAACCTCGGAAAGTCTGTGTTGACCCCATCCAAACCCTTGGAGTATCTGGGGATGATTCTGTTAGGAGCAGGCTAAGGTGTTCCTCCCATCAGACAAACTACAGAAACTCTGGTCAGCGGTCCAACAGCTTTTGGCCTCCAAGAGAGACTCCCTTTATTTTTTCATGTGGGTCCATAACCTGATGGTGGCTTCCTTCAAAGCAGTTCTGTATGCACAGTTCCATACGAGAACTCTGCAGAAGGAAATCCTATCCAAATGGAACAGGTCTTCCTAGGCCCTGGACATTCAAATTTACCTGGGACGGTCAGCAAGAACCTCTCTCCTCTGGTGGCTGCAGTCTTCGGTTTTTCGGAACAGAAGGTCCTTCCTTCTTCTTCGATGGACTGTGGTCACGACGGATGCCAGCCCGTCTGGGGAGGAGTCCTGGGATCTCAATCTGTTCAGGGTCGCTGGACTTCGGTGGAAGCTTGACTGCCCATTAATGTCCTGGAGCTTCAGGTGATCAGATTGTCACTGGCACATTGGACAGATCGCTTTATGCGGTCTGCTGATCTGGTTCCGCGGTGGCGTACATGAAACATTGGGGGGGCATGAAGTACAGCATCAGCGCTGGAGGCATCTCTCATCCTGAGACTGGGCAGAAAGGTCCATTTCGGCTCTGTCTGCCATACATTTTCTGGGGGTCAAAAACTGGCAAGCAGATTATCTCAGCCATCAGACGTTGGATTGGATGAGTGGTCCTTGCACCTGGAGGAGTTCAATCAGCTCTGCCTTTACTGGGGGATGCCAGACTTGGATCTTCTGATGTCCTGCCTCAACTGGAAGGTTCCATGGTTCATAGCGAAATCGTTAGCTCCTCTGGCGGATGCGACAGATGTGCTGCTGGCACAGTGAGATCAGCACAATATCATATATGCCTCTCCGCCCCTCAGGCTGATTCCTCACCTACTACACAGGATAGAGGCTGAAGGGATCCTGGTCATCTTGGTGACTCTGGACTGACCTTGCCATCCCTGTTACTCCGAAATGGTGCGGTTGGTGGCAGATGCTCTCTGGCAGCTGCCTCTTTCGAGTGGACCTTCTATCTCAAGGGCCAGTGTTCCACCCTGCTGTTGCTGACTTTGATGGCATGGCTATTGAAAGCCAGGTTCTGAAGGATAGTGTAGGCTTGTGTCAGATTTCTCATCGCACCTGGAGAGCTTATATTGTGCGCAGCTCTGGGGATTTCAGAAGCACTTAAATCAAGGGTCAACATTGTCCTTCCTTCTTCTATGGTTCGGGTGCGCATCTTCTTCAGGGGGTTCGTCCTATGGTGCCTCCTGTACACTCCCTGTTGCCACTGTGGGACTTGCGTTTGGTGCTGTAAGTTCTTCGGGCTTCCCATTTGAGAGCATTCAGGATATTCCCTTACCTTTTGCAGAAATTGCATTCCTTTTCGAAGGTCAATTCTTTGGCTCAGAGGTGGTAGCCTTATCTGGTTTTACACAAGATAAGGTGGTAGGCTGCCAGGTCTTTCACTTTGAAACTATTTCTTCCTTGGATTCGGAGGTGGACTATTGCGCAGGGCGTATTTCTCCTTGCAGGCATGCTATTAGGGGGAGGGAGTCTCTGTTCCCTGTCACGGCGCACTCCACCAGGGCAGTTAGCGCCTCCGGGATGTTCCGACATCAGGTGTTTGTTTCTCCAGTTTGCAAACCGGCGACCTGGTTGTCTGTGCACATGTTTACTAAGTTCTATAAACTTGATGTGTTGGCATCTTCTGATGCTAGTTTTGGCCACAAAGTTTTGCAGGTGGCCATTTAGGATTCCTTGGCACCCCTTTGGGTGTTTCGGAGTGTTGGCATGTTGCCCTGGGTTTTGCTCCATTAGTTGGTTTGCCCTCCCCTTATTGTGGCACTGCTTGGGGACATCCCTGTTTGGTTATGGATAAAGAAGATGCTGTGTCCGTCAATGAATGTAAGCGGAAATGGGATTTTGTTACCATAAAATCCCTTTCTCGGAATTCATTGATGGAAACAGCACTCACCCCTCTATGGAGTTTTCTTCCTGACACTGCTTGTGACTGACTGGAGGCCTATAACAGAGGGGGTTTTATGCCCAGAGATGACTGCCCTTAGGTGGTTCCAATTTTTTTTTTCTTTTTTTGCTGCCTAGTGTCCTACTCTTGTAGGTGGGGCTATAACACCCTGTTTGGTTGAAGAAGATGATGCTGTGTATGTCAATGGACTCGGGGTATTTTGGGTCCGTAACAAAAATCCAGTTTTTTGGCAAGTTACTGCACAAAATCTGTTAATGCCAAGGGGTTCACATACAACATATTTTCTTGACACTATAATGAAGAATGGTACCCGGACCCCATACCGGACAAAGGGTGTGTGTAATGCAGGGACAGCCTGTAATGTTCCTGGTTGACACTGGACGCTGCATGCAGAGTACAGTGATATATTGCAAAGGTTTTTTCTGGTAGGGTGCTATACAGGTCCAGGACGGTGAACCCCAGCATGGGGAAATTGAGTCCCTGTAGACCCTCTGGGCGTAACCTCTCATAATGGGTGAAGATTGGACCCCTCCTTGGAGGGAAATTGGGTGGGTGTATGCAGGCAGTGCCCTGGTAGATCTGCTGATACCCCTGGATAACTCTCCTGCATTGGTCAACGCAACTGCAAAGTTCCCCCTGTAAGAGTTCAGTCCAACAACGCTCAACTGTGGCTTACATAAGTCATCAAAGGACCACAAGAAGTTGAGCAGCCCAGGAAGAAGTGGACTTTATCCTGTCTTGGGCAGAGCTACGTTTCCACTTTAACATTCTGGGAGTGGAAAATTGTCAGGTGAGCTTTCTTAGACCACAAGTATTGTCTCTGAGGAGTGGGCTCTTCACCCAGAGGTTTTCAAGAGAACCATCGGCAGTGGGATACACGGGATGTGAACCTATTCAAGACCTTCCTTTTGGCTCTATTTACGTGGAAGGTTTTTTTTCGGGTTGCCATTACTTTGGCTTATGGGGTTTCGCAACTGGTGGCCCTTTTTTGTAAGGAGCAATTTCTCATGTTCAAAGCACATAGGTAAAGCATGTTTCACGGAGCCATTTTTCCCATGTTCTGTGCTTTGGGACATCCCAGTTGGTAAGGATTACTAAAGCTTCTCTGTGTCCCCTGATGTACTCAAAGAAAAGGATTTTACAGAAAAATCCAATTTTTTATATTTTTTAAGTGCCAACATAATTTTGGATGTAAATATTATAAAAGAGCTAATTTTGAAAAGTATACAATGACTGGTAGGTGGCATTTGACGCGATAACCCTAAAATTCAGATGTCTATCCTACAAAAACAAAACAAAATTTTCTGTGATATGACAGTGATCTAATGATCATGGAGCAGCAATGGCTTTTAGGGAAGCCCCGGCTAGGAAAGATGCCCCTATTTTACTTATGGTTAGTTTTAAACTAATGCAGCACACACATTAAAATGGATCTGATCAAGAAATTATGTATGCTAGAGGTTTTCCAGTTTTTACCTTTTTTTTTTTTTTTTTTTCCTCTCCATTACAGTATTGCAAGTGCCTCGCTCTAGAACAGCCTTTCCAGTTCTCCCAAGAAGACATGCCTCGTGTACGGAAGCGGATATACAAAGAACTTTGTGAATGCAGACTTATGGATTAAACATCAAAGCTGCTCTTTCTTGACCTTTTGGAAAAGTTCAAGCTCTACTTGAATTACTGAATACTTCCACAACTTTAAAACATGATTTTAGAAGGGTGGTTAACCCTCCATCGTTACCTCAGATGTTTAATTTTCTTGGGACATTAAAGTGGTCAGCATCAGATAGCTGACGCTGAAATATTTGTGGCTTCAGTTTGTTTTGTGTATTTAATATTTATTATGTAAGCATGCAAATATGCAGACGCATGCAGCAGTAAAACAGAACTGTAGATTCAATGCACCTTTTGACTTGTAGATAAGTTACAAAGAAAGTTTTAATTTTAATGAAATGTATAAAACTAGCAGGTACATTTTCCTGTAAACTCAAAATCTGTATTTACTTGTAAATGTTATTCCTGTGGAAAAAAAATATCATGCATTACATATATTTTGACCAGACCTGTTATATTTACATTTTGTTCCATCTTTTATAGGTATTTGCAACACTTGTTTGCAAACGTTGTATTTTAAGAGATTTTCTTCTGCCTTATCCATAGTGCTCTTTCAGTTTATTTTTGTGTGACTAAATCTATGTAATCTAATTTTTTTTTTTTATTATTTCATAAAAGTTAATACAGATTAAAACAGGATCTGCAGGAAGTTATTTTCAAACCGTTTTGTTTAGATCAGCATGTTATATATATTGTGTAATACATGAACATTTTGTTTGGATATATCAACTTTAAAGTGGTAGTAAACTCTTCTTTAACCACTTGCCCTCCAGAGCATTTACCCCACTTCCTGACCAGGCCATTTTTTGTGATATGGCGCTGTTACTTTAACTGACAATTGCACGGTCATGCAACACTGTACATAAATTAAATTTATGTCCTTCCCCCACAAATAGCTTTATTTCAGTGGTATTTGATCACCTATTCTGTTTTTATTTTTTGCGCTATAAACAAAAAAAGACTAATGATTTTCAGGGGAAAAAAAAAAAAAAAACATTTTTGACTTTTTGCTTTAAAACCTATCCAGTAAAAAAAAAAAAAAAAAAAAAAAAAAAATCAAATTTCTTCATAAATTTAGGCCAAAATGTATTCTGCTACAAAAAAAAAAAAAATATCCCAATACATGTAAATTAATTGATTTACACGAAAGTTATAGCGTCTGTAAATGGCAGTGTGTATATATACTGGAATTTTTTTTTTAAATTTATTTTTAATATACTAGTAATGGTGGCTATCAGTGCCTTATACCTGAACTGCGGCGGGCATTCTGACACTGAGTGGGAACTAACTGCAACTGATATCAGAATGACACTAATACAGTGATCTGTGCTAATAAAAAGCACTGACACTACTACTGACACTGGGCAGGAAGGGGCTAACCTCTGGGGCGATCAAAGGGTTAACAGCGTACTGTTTTAATGTGCTGTGTATGTTTTACTAGGGAGGCATGCTGCTGTGTATTTCTCTGCTGTGCAGAGAAATACACAGCAGCATGTCCTTGATGGCAGGAGAGAGACCTGTGTTTATGCGTGCCTCCTACCCGGAAATGCAAATCACGCATATATACATGATTTTGCACCGTCCTGTAGCAGTAGTTTTACTATAGGGCGCCGGGCAAGTGGTTCATTTTTACCTACAGGTAAGCTTATAATAAAGCTTACCTGTAGGTAAAATAATGTCTCCTAAACGTAAACTGTTTAGAAGATGTTAGCCCGTTTTGCTATTCAGCGCATGCGCTCTGAAGGAATTGCATACCTGTGCCAATGCCTGGGACTCCCACGCATGGGAGTGACAACATTGCGGCTCTGTCAGTCAGCAGGCCAGAGCTCGTAAACCTGGAAGGAAGACCGGGTAAATGTGGAAGCCCTGGGGAGCTGTGACAGCACTCCACTGGAGGGCTTCATAATGAAGGTAAGTCCTTCATAATGTGTTAGTATGCAATGCATACTAGCACATATGCCTTTACCTTGCAGGGTTTTTGTTTTTTTTATATGCGGTTTGTTACCGCTTTTAATCTCTAGAGTAGAGCTCAAGCCAAAAAAAAAAAAAAAAAAAAAATGTTGGTTTTGAATAGTATGAAAGTGTTAGCAGCTCTGTCAAGTATTAATGCTCTCTCTCCAAGTTGAGCTTTTTCCTGCATATTTGGTAAGGGGAAATCTCTCCCATCCTGGCCACCACAGTAAAACTTCAGGTTGTTGCCTCTGGTTACACTGAAGAGGTTTTCTCCTACATTTTTTGTGTTGATGACAGGAAGTGAGGGGAAATCTTTCCCCAGGAGGACACCTGAAAGCAGCGCAAACCTGGCAGAAGTTCTATAATCACTCCATTAAAAAAAAGAAAAGTCTGTCTGTATTGTATTTTAGCCTGTATGGTCATATAGTCTGTATTGTAGTAATGCCATAAAGGTTTAATGAAGATAAACTGGACCCACCAGTAGCCCTGCCTTCTGCAGAGAATGAGTTATGTGATTTTAACTATGCTTGCTTTTCTGTCTAAGCTGGTTTCATTGCCATTGCTCACATGCAGCCTTTTTCCTGTTTCCCTTGTCATCTTTGTAGGATCCCATACCTGCTGTTGGTTACTGTGCACTTGGAGGCAACGATGCCCTGCACCAGTCAGGGCATAACCTTTTACCAATTATTGTTTGTGAATCATGGCATTTTTGGGATGTCGCTATAGGTCAGTGGTACTAAATTAAAATTCAGGTCCGGTTGGTAACCTTTTATTTCTGCAGAGGTCAAAAATACATTTTTCCTTCTATTACTCAGGTCTTTCACATGACAGCCCCCTTTGCATTAATGTCCTCATTCCCCCCCATTCCCATCACAGCCCTCTGTATATCGCCTTCTTTCACATTATAGCCCCGCTTCCATCCCAGCTCTCACTCTCCTGGCATCACAGACCCTTTGTATCTCAGTTCCCCCATATTACAGCTCTCCTCGCATCACAGCCCCCCCATATCACATCACAGATCCCCAATATTATAGCTTCTAGCTTGGTAATCACAACTCCCTCCTATCATAGCCCCCCATTTCACAGCTCCTCCCCTCATGTCACAGCCCTGCATATCACAGCTCCCTCTTCTCACTTTACAGCTCCACCTATCATAGCTCCCTCTTCATCGGTCTCCCACATCACAGCACCCCTATATCACCGCTTCCCCCACCTCACAGCCCCCCATATCTCTGATATCACAGCCCCCTCTACTGCATAATCTTCCCCATACCTTAACACATTGTGGAGGGTGGAAGGAATGGCAAGGTGGACTCCTGTTCTATATGTACTCATCTGGCACTGCCATCGTTGCCACGGCTGTTGAAATCACAGCAGGGAAGAGGATGAGAGGATTGGAAGGAAGGACTCCTCTTCTGCATGTACTGGCTTGCTGTCCCCACCGCTGAACTCAGAGCAGGGAGGAATGGAAGGACGGATTCCTCTTAATGTACTGGCTTGCCCCAGCTGAACTCAGAGCAGGGAGGAGGACGGGAGGCATAGAAGGTTTCAACTGATGGTGGGAGCTGCCCAACTTTTCCCGGTAAAAAGCAAGAGACCCATATGAAAGGTTGGTTTTTCCCACTCCCTTTCCCACTCCCCTGTGGACCTGCAGTTTTTCCTGCCCTCTTCCCTGCTCTGAGTTTAGTGGTGGCAAGCTGGTACAATTAGAAGCGGAGGCTGTCCTTCAGTTCCTCCTGCCCTCTTCCCTGCTGAAGTTCAGCAGCAGCGATGATGGCCACGGCCACAGAGTACATACAGAACAGGAGTCCCCCCTGCCATTGCTCCCGATTACTAACAACTGCAGTGGTGCGAGGAGCCCACTCAGGCTGCTAAGTGGTGTGGCCACGGTCTGGACAGGACTGTCACTCAGTCAGTATTCGGACCTTGGTATGCCATTTAGTGATGCCTGCTATATAGGTTCATGCCTTTTTATCTTTATTTCACTGTTCAACTATCAGAGGATGAGGAAGGCACTGTTTCCTTGGGGACATAGAAGGTTGAATGTGAATTCAAGTGGTAAAAAAAAAAAAAAATCACGACCTATTTTCAAACTTTTACTGTGAGCCAGCATTTACAATAAACAGGTAAGAAGATATTAAAAGTGACCAACTTGGCTGTTTAATGTAAAACTGGACCAAAGTAAGGTTGGCCATACACTATACAATTTTCTTTAGAAAATTGCTTTAAATTTACCAAAAACCATATAATAGGAGGTCAAACCTAAACAGCACTTTCAATTGTATCCAATTAGGGGGCCCTTGCACTACACAGTTGAAGGTAAATCTAAAGAAAATTGGACAGAAAATTGTATAGTGTATGGCCAGCTTTAGGACAGTCCTCATTTTGAATGGAGGTCCACACACCAGAGGTCCACACACACTAATGGATAGCACTCAGGACAGATTAGGGTCATGAAATTCCAATGCTTCCTCACCCATGCAAAGGCACCCTAACAGCAACTGATATAACAGCAACAAATATATTCACCTCTGAATATATTAAGTTGTGTGAAAAAAAAAAAACCCTATGGACTTGTTTCATTATATTATAAAAGGCTAACTGAAAAAAATTAAAATGTGCAAGTTTCAGCCTTAGAGGGCCACCTTCCATTTTCAAAAAAAAAAAAAAAAGCATAACTTGGAGAAAATACAGGGTGGCCTTTCCATTCTGCAACAAACTACTGCAATCTGAGGCCATTTTGTTTGACATCAAACTGAATTTTGCAAGAAAAATTAGATTTGACCCAGGTTTAGGGGCTCCCAAGATACTGGAAAATGGTGCTTGTACTTAAGCAAATCTCCATTTCCAGCCAAAATCAAGAGCACTTGGCTGGCAGAATTTGTAGAAAATGGTATGCATACATGTTTAACTTTAGCTGAAAGTCAACAATGGAAGGCCTCACAGCAAATCGAGAGGCAGCTTCAGTTTTACTAGGTTTTGGCAAACTATTAAAAAAAAAAAAAAACCCTTTAAAAATGTTTTTCCTGACAGACTCCATGGCAGCATACGTATGGG